AACATTATAAAGAATTAAAATGTATTAAGTTTTAAGTCATTGTGAATTTGCTAACTGCTCTTGTAAATAAACTTTATTTTTGAACTTCAAATTGACTATAGGCTACAGAAGCTCACTTCACTTTCTAATGTGGAACAGGTGGGACTTAATCCCAGGTCTCCGGTCTCAGAGGTGAGCACACGACTAATGTGCAACAAGCACTCCCTCGAAGATTGATTTTTAAAATCAATCTGTACAGATTTGTTACGATACACCTTTGGAGCAGTTGGGACTTGAACTGAAGCCTTCTGGCTCAAAGGTAGGAATCCTACCACTGTGCTTGAATAGCCCTTACATTTTAAAATCGCACATTGGACAAACAGCCATTAGTCTTATAACTGGATATCTTTTCTAATCAACCTGGTCAGACATTTTATTACCTTCCTCTGGACTAGGTGGTACTTGAACCCAAGCCTCCTGCCTCAGAGGTAGGGACACTACCAGTGTATCACTAAAGTCCTTACAAAGCTCACTCAAAAAGGCACACAGGTAATGCTAAACATCTGGGTGAAAGGGTCACCTTCAATTACAAGAACAATGAGGCGGGGGGGGGGGGTCTTTCTTCAAACAAGGAGGGCCTGAAACAATCTTCCAGCTGCACAGGACTCCATCAAATTAACTGACATGGGTTAAGAAACTACCTGAAAGCAAGAGAACAGTGTGGATCAGTGTCAAATTACATTTGGAAGAAAACAATTCTCGCAAAATGGGTTTTTAAGAATTTTCAAAACATCAAGACCTCCAAACAGTTGTGTATGGCGCAGCTGCAATTTAAATTGTAGCTCAGTGTCAGAAACAAGAATCCTTTTATTTAAAATCGTGCTTGTGTTTTCAAATAGCATTGCTGTTTTTCACTTCATCTTAACTGTTCAAACCAAACAGCTTCCAGAAACAACTCACCTGTGACAAGAATTTCAACAAATAACTGTACTGGCTTTATTTAGTCTCTCTTAAACCAGATACAATCATAAGTATTTATGGCTAAAATTTCACACAAGCACTCAAAACATCTATTAGAAAGCATGTATGGCCATCAGGTAGTAAAAGGACACAACCATAATTAGCACAGTGTGGACCATTAAAACAATTAAACGACGCAGCATCTTCCCAGGACCCATACATGCAAGCTTTTGTGTATCAGAAGGCATTATCATAAACTCTTTACAGTGTGCAAGCAGGACATTTGGCCTGTCGAGTCCACACCTACCCCCCAAAGCGCATCCCACCAACACCCTATCCTATTCTATTCTACCCCTGTAACCCTACATTTCCCAGGGCCAACCCACCTAACCTGCACAGCTTTGGACTGTGGGAGGAAACCCATGCAGACACAGGGAGAATGTGCAAACTCCACACATACGGTCACCCGAAGGTAGAAACAAACTTGGGTCCCTGGTGCTGAGAGGCAGCAGTGCTAACCACTGAGCCACCATGCCACCTCTTTAGTTTGCCTCAGTTATGGAAGTATTATCATATGAAAAAGGCAAAGTCGCCATAATTGGGGGAGGGGGAGGGGGAGGGGGATAGGTCTGGTGGTGGCACCATAACAGCATTTGCGTTACTTGAACAAAAAAATCAACTCATGGCATTAAGTAATAAATTAAGGATGGGAGTCATATTTGAACACTTTCAAATTGGAATTAAAATATATTTGCAATAATATAGCAACTGTCACGACCTCAGGACTTTACGAAAAATGGAACACTTTGAAATCTAAATCAACCATTTTGACACAAGGAAACATTTCAAGCAGCACAATACCACAACCAGCTAAGGGACAAACAACCAGAGAACCATGTTTCAAATCCAAATATTACCTTCAGCTTTGTACACTGTGAAGTTATGTGTCAGCCTAGATTATGTGTTCTGGACAGGGACTGGAAACCACAATCCATTGACTCATACCCTTGACTTAGCAGTAGCACTTTAGCCCAAAATCATGGGTTTTGAATAAAGAGTAAATGGCACATGCCTTCCAAAAGAAATAAATTTTGAAGGCTGTCACATTACAGAATGTACCTATTTCAACAGAAGGGTATAGCTGTCCAAGGTTCCAACACAAATATGAGAAGTGAAACTGTGTGTGCACTCAGATCAGCTTCAAACACTGATCTGTACAGTATTGGTAACATTGTCACTTCCTGCCTGAGTTATTTATGCACGGAAAATCATCTTGAACAATAATTTGCCATTTAAGATTTGCTCGTCTTCAGCTTCGTAGTGAACACCAGACGGGACAGAATTGCAAAGGAACAGAAGCAGGAAGAGGTCAAATGGCTTCTGCTTCAACATTCAATAAGATCACCACTGATCATCAACCCCGATGTCACTTCTTCACCAGGTAGCACAAATAAACCAGAAAATCATAGCTCCAGTTAAGAAGTGATACAAATGACTTTTTAAAAAAGCCTAAATAACAATTCAATTTTAATTTAGAGTTGCACTGTACCCAGTAATCTAGATATGAATACCAACAATATGCACCACAGGAAACCAGTTTCCTGTACACCTAAAACCACTGCTCTTGCCAGCAATACAGGCGTCCATCCTCAAAACAGAGCAGCCCTTTGCCTGATCTTGCTTCTTCACGAGAGGTTCAATCCACACCAACAGCCTCATTTGAAGGTACCAAATGCCAGTCTAGGTGGTACTCTACAATATTGCATGACCTGTAAAATCTCAAGTCATACCACAGCACATAGCTAAAAAAAATAAGGTTGGGACAGGATGGAGCTACATATTAAGTGTGCTTTGCATATTACAGTGCCTACTGAAACATCTTGGCCCTCCACACAAACACTATCACATTCCAAGCACCATTCATTCTTTTAGTGTGGATTTCAGTTTGTTGCCTGGGGTGGAGAAGGAGATGGTATTTATTTAATCGTGCAACCCTGACGACTCAGCAATTCCATCTCATGAAAACTATCATATTCCCTATTTACTTTTCCTAATAGCGTACAAACATAACCCATTTTCTTCTGTGCTGTACCATCATGAAAGTACAATTGAGATTAAAGTATATTCCCAGCATAAATGCAAGAAAGTACAAGGTGCCCTCATCGCAAAGATTTAAAAATATTTCTCTTCCTTCCTCCCACACAAAGTTTCTGAGAAGGCAAGAAATCTGGCCTCTGTGGTTCTTTATTCAACCACAAGTAAACAAAGGCAATCCAGATGCCTCTCCCTCCCGGTTTAGGAGGAATGTCTTGCCTCTCCATTCCTCCACACCCCCTTCCTCAGCTGAGATAGCACGAGATATATTTTAGCTCTAAGCTATGCAACGCGAACATGGAACACTGCAACATCAAACCTTCAGAAAAACTTAGAAGAGATAATTTCAGGAATAATAGTTTAAAATCTGCTTAACCAGCATTCTCCAGTCATGGGGAGGCGGGAAACACTGCACACCAACTCACTACAAAAACAGTTTCATTTTACTATTTGAAAATCATTTCTCAACCCTGGACTTTCCTCATGGTAAGGTAAATTTGCCACAGTCACAGAGGACCACAGGGTTGCTCTCTCTTTAGAGACAGAGAGGACTGATGGGGAGTTTAACCAGAAGGTCACCGTACCTCAGATGAGGTTGTGAAGATGGCTCCTTCGTGATGATCTTAGCCAGCATGGGAATTGATCCCACTCTGTTGGTGTCACAGACCAGCCAACTTAAAACCTACCACGTCAACAACCGCCCACAGTACAGTAATCACCGAACATGAAGGACAGCACAGAAAGGCCCACTGACTGAAACTCGGCGAGAGTCCACATTTGCACGATCAGTCCCAGAGGAATAAAGAAGAATGGCATCTCTAAAGAGTGGGATGTCTTACTGCACCGCGACAGAAAGCCACAGCCAAGCCTGTCTCTCAGATTACTGCAGCTGAAAGCAAACTGGCAGGCCGAAATAACATTAACAGCACAAGAACAGAGGGCAGAGTGGAAAGCTAGTTCGGGCATAGAATGTCCTTGCCTGATCCAGCAGGTGGTAATTGATAAAAAGGAGGAAGTAACAGGTAGGCTGACTATACTTAAGTGAAGTAGGCATGAAGTCTAATGAGATGCATTCAAGGATACAGAGTGAAATTTGAGTAAAAATTGCAGGGGACACGAACACAACTTCTCAGTCTTCCTTAGATTTGGTGGGGGTACCAGAAGGTTAGACAATAGTAGATATTAGATTCTTGTTCGAAAGCAGTTGCAATAACAGGCCACTCAGTGTAACGCCGCGGCAGGAAACTTCTCAGAAGAATCATTTGAGACAAAATTAATAAGCACATGAACAAATGCAGGTTGATTAACAAATGCCAGCATGCACTTAAGGGAATGTCAAGTTTATCTAACTTGCTGGGATCTTTTTTAAGCAAAAGAGAGAGCATAGGTGAGGTCAATGCCATTAATGCAGTGTATGTGGACTTCTAAAAGGCTTTTGATACGGTGCTACACAGAGCCAAAAAGTATTAGCTCATGGAATAAAAGGGACAGCAGCAACATAGACAGAACTGCCCGAGAGAAAGGAAGCAATTATTGGTTATGGATGTTTTTCAGGCTGGAGGAAGTGTGGAGCAGAGTTTCCATAAAGGGTCGGTGCTGCTCTTCCTGATGTACATTATTAACTTAAACCTAGGTGCACAAGGAACAATTTCAAAGTTTGCAAGTGATATGAAACTTGAGAAAAGTTGTTAACAGTAAGAAGTGGGAGAACGTAGAGGTATTTACAGTCATGGCATGTCTGGCCAGATTAAATAGGGAGAGCGCTGTCCAACTTGTGACGGGATTGAGAACAGAAAAAGAAAATAAGCACAAAAACAATGAGAAAAAGAAAACTTTCATAAAAGGTTGAGGCCTGGAATACAAAGTCTTGGAGAAAGTACAGTATAGGCAGGTTCATTTAAACATTGAAATGGGTGTTAGACTGGTATCTGAAGAGAAACAATGTCAAGAAGGCCGGAGAATTATACCAGATAAACTGCTCATCCAAAGAGCTGGTCCAGACACAATGGGCTGAATGGTCTCCTCCTGTGCTGCCATAAATTTGTTATAGCGGTTATGCAGCAGCTCTCCCTTTCCATTTTCAGTTTTTAATTTTGTGAAATGAATTCCCAAGTTCATGAGAGACCCTTCAGCCTTAAAGTAAAACAGAAAGAAACCATTAGCACTTCAGGCAAAAAAAAAATTCTCATGGTTGAAGCAAGAATGCTACCATCATTAGTATTCACTCTGTATAAAGTGTTACACTAGGACTCAGCATAATCAAAATGCAGGCCAGAAAAAGTGAAAAGCACATTTTTGGGATTCCAGGCACAGCATCTGCATATAAAATCCAGGTAAAATAAATAGTAATGGCAGCTTTTAAAAACAGGAGGATAACAGGAACCAGAAAAAAAAAAAGAGAACTAACTGGCTGTGGAAATTCAGATAATGAATACATGACTTGAGCAGGAAGTAGAAATTTAATTCCCTCTTCACCACCACCAACACCGCTCCCCACCCCTCACAAAAAGCAAGCAGCAAAAGTGAGCATGTGCAGCCCAGCAATAACACATGTAGTTCTATCTGTAGCACAAATGTGCAAAACCTCAGAACAGAAATTGCTATCTGTTGACGTTCAGGAAGGAAGGGCAAAGAGACAGTTATCAGCTGCACACACAAGTTGGGGTAGCATAGCAAGTGTCAGCAGCAACAAGTGTATTTTTTTTTTTAAAAAACTAAACGTTTTCTTACCCTACATACTGTTCATTCTACTTTAAAGATTGCAGTACAAAGACTTCAAGCAAAGCATTTGCAAGCTTGCAAAACAACCTTGATCACGAATGAAAAGCAAATAAAAGTTGAAGATAATGTCCAGAAAGTTCTGATGAAGAGTTACCGGACTCAAAATGTTAACTGCTTTCTCCCCACAGATGCTGCCAGACCTGCCGAGTTTCGCCAGCAATTTTCATTTTTGTTTCAGATCTCTAGCATCCGGAGTCCTTAGCTTTATTCATAAAGGCTGAAGACGTTGGATATCAGAAATAAAAAAAAGCTATTCTAGAACTTCTCTGTAGGCCAGCCATCACCCGCGGAGAGAAAAGATACATTACTGTTTCAAGTATCGTACAGGCTCTCCAATTCTGACAAAACATCTACAGCTCAAATATTAGCAGATCTGTCCTTCTACACAAGCTCATCAATAACCACCTTGTGCTACAGTACACAACAGCTTTCTATTTTCCAGACCCTCCAAAATCATTTTTGATAGAAGCAATAAAATACGTGGACGTAGATTTAAGACAGACAGCTATTTCCAACTATTCCACTAACGCTGCTCAGGATGAGTATACTGTATTTATCACCCAATCCCACCCAACCCCGGCCCCCCAAAAGTCCTATTCAGTGGCCGTATCATGATCTCCCCTTTTCAATTGAAAAAAAAAGGGTGCTACTTGAATAGCTTTAATCCAATTAAAATTGTATAACCATCAACTGGCAAGCATACCTTAGCCAGTCCCATTCCCCCCACCCTTTTCTTCGTAGCCACGCAAACAGCTTTCCTTTCAGATAGTTATCCAGTTCCCTTTTTGAAAAAGTGACGGTTGAATTTGCCACTCTGACATTCTTAAGCAATGCATTCTGATCTTTATCACTTGCTTCCCCTTCCAGCCCCCACCCTGTCACCACAGGTTCTACTGCTAATCATCTTAAAAGTTCTTCAAGGCTTTAGTTTAGTGAAAATTTTGTTCATTAAAGAACAATGCTCAAGTACAGCATATAAAACCTGCAGTCCAGTGTCATGGCTAATTGGACTTAAAATGGTAATGCTGGAGCTGGTCCATCAAGACGCCCAAAATTATCAACACAGAGACCTCAAACACAATTTCAGCATCACCTCATTGTTTCAACTGTTTCCTCATGGCTCTGCTTTTCTGCACAACAACTTATAGCTCTCTTTTCAATCTTTTTGAGAACAACTCCTCATGTCCATAAGAAATAGGGAAAGTAGCAGGCCATTCAATCCCTCAAGCCAGCAGTGCCATTCAACAGGTTCCTCACGTCCACTTTCCTGTCTTTTCCACGTCACCCTTGATTCTGCTACTGATCAATAATCTGTCTTAGTCTCAAAATGTACACAAAAAGACTCTCTCCCCACAACTTTCTATGACATGGAGCTCCAAAGGCTCCCAACCCTCAGAAGAACTCTTCTCTCAGTCTTAAATTGGTGCCTTTAAAGACAACTACACCCTCTGGTCTTCAATTCTCCCATGAGGGGGAATATTCCCTCCACATTTACCCTGTTAAGCCCCTCAGGTCACAAATATCTTTGTTATAATGGAGGCTTTTACATCAAAAAGGTAAGCACCAGCATTCCAGTCTCAAGATTTCATGAACATAACTGAAAATTAATGGTCCACTGAAACATCCTCATTCCTATAGGATTAAAACCAAGGTCCACAATACAGATTTCTATACTAATCTTTTCTTTCTTATGTGGGACCTCAAAAGAGTGGAAATCCATAATTACCTCCTTTTTTTAAGAGGGTAAGTTTTAAAAATCCAAATTGGGCATCTTTAATTCTTCATTTCAGCTTTGGTATTCTATGCAATGGGTCTCAGTCTAACTTTCTTTTGCTTAAATAAAGCTGTACTCAAGTCAGATGGCAAATCTAACTTGTACTGCAACACCATATCATATTTTACAGAGTTCAAGACTCCATTTTAAGTTGCTGGAAGATTTTTTAAAATCCAGAAATGACAGGGTGTTCAAGTTCAAGTCTTGTTAACTGCATCCAAATATCATTTCATAAAATGCAGCACAATGTCTACATTTTAAAAGCCTCGAACTAAAATGTTTAGAAACACAATTTTAGTAATAGGCAGAACATTTTTGTGTGGTGAAGTATTAAGGGTGTGACTAAAACCAGGAGTTCAATCACCTTGCCCTGCAACCTCTCAGAAATTAGTTCCAGGCATTTGGCAACTACACATGTTGTCGTAACACATATGCCAGGAGTACAATCAGAATGCCAGTGAGTTACTAAAGGAAGGACTGAGTTCTTGACAGGAATATGGAGTTGAGAAACATAGCCACACTATCAGACTCCCATATGCTGAATATTTGACTCCCAAGCTATCAAGTACAGGTAATTCTCCCATAACACGATAGTTTCGTTCTTGCATAATCTTGCACTATAGAAAATCACGTTATAGGGAAATTTCTATATCCATACAGTAGAAACTTTGCATTATCCAAACATCCACTAAACATCAATTGCGTTACAGCCAATTCGCGTTAACAAAACGCACATTATAGCGGAATTACCTGTAAGTAGATAATTAGGGGTAAATCAGTACTAGCTAGAAGTGTAATCAAAGTCTTCAAAAACAAACTACAAATATTCTTGCTAGTAACTTCATGTTCATTAAGAACAGCTATTATTGACCTTAAACAACTGGTACAATTCAAAAATTTGGACGTCAATAATAAGGCATCAAACATCTAGTCTTGGCATAAAAATTTGTTTTGTATGGGGAGTGTTTAAAATTGCAATGGGGAAGGGATACATGACAAAATGAAACTTGCTACCATAATTGATCATGTTTAATAAATCCAAGAGCACTTTTTCGCTTTATTGAAGTCAGAGCTTTGTGTTGAGCACAGATGAATCAGACAGATTCCAGCTGGTGCACATACACAGTGTTATAAAATACTGTTGCAGAGAACAGATACTTGGGAAATTTAACAAGGGTGTAATTCACTCAGTGGAAGGGATCATATCAAACTGATGAAGTGATATTCATCCAATTTACCAGTGTCAGCAAAATGTAGAGACTGAATTACACCTATTAACTCCCTCTCCATCAGGGTTAGGTACATTAAATACATAGTGAATTACAAGTCTTTTACAGATTTTGCAAATAAAATAGTTTGCTAAAAGTGACAGAATTAATGAGAGGTGCTACATAAGTTTA